GAGGAGCTGGCTGGAAAAGGCCTGGGGTAGCCCTGACCTCCTCCAGCAGAAGCCCTGTTAGAACCTGACACTAATTAGTGATATTTTTTTTTGGTCTTAGATTGTAACCTGTTCTTTGGGAGCTTTATGCTTTATTTTGTAAGACACAGCTGGAAAGCCCAGAGAATCCAAAGCTTGTTCAGAGGGTGTGGGTGGTGGTGTGTCTTGTTTGTTTGTAGGTGGGTGGGTTGTTTTTAGATATTCCTAAGGAATCTCTTCTGGTGGAAGTTTGCAGATGTAACGAGGCATTTTGTTCCAGAATGTGCTGTGAAAAATGCTTTGAACATCTTTCTGCATGAAATCTGTCCTGAAGTTGGGTATACTTGGATAGCTCTTTCCCTAAGTGCAGAGCAGACTTTTTTGTAAACTGCTGACCCATAAACTTGAGATTTCTGAGTTCAGCATTTTTGCCTTGTCCTTGTGAGGTGGAAGATAGTTCTCTGTGAAAGTGTGACATTGGGGCACCAGCCTACTTTAGACATAAGTTTGAAAAGATTTAAGATCTTGTGACAATTCACGAGAGCAGAAAACACTCTTACACGACAATAGAGTGGGTTCAGGAATATGATAGGAAAAACTTAGACATTTTGAATGACAGAAATCATGGAATCATAGAATATTAAGGGGTTGGAAGGAACCTTAAAGATCATCCCATCCCAACCCCCTGCCGTGTTCAGGAACTTCTCCCACTAGACCAGGTTGCTTAAGGCCTTATCCAGCCTGTCCAAATATTTGCAAATAATGGCACAGTTCCTTCTGAAACTCTTTTTTGGTACTGTTGTACTTAATCTAGTGTTTGTACTGCTGATTAAGGTTTGCTAAATTTGGAGACTCTTAGGTAAAATCTGGATACTTTAGAGATGCCCAATGGATATTGGAACCTCTCAGCCCTGCAGTGGAATGGCAGAAGGAATCCATGTGGATGAAACTGTGTCATTCTGCTTTGAGTCTTGTGTGTGTCTGTGTGGGTTTGGTTTGCTTGGGGTTTTTTGGGATTCTTTTGTGCCTCTGTCTCTGCTGAAAAGAAATCCTCAGTGGTACAGGACAGAGAAATGCACAAAATATCCTTTTGGTTAAAGAGTAAAATTCCACAGAAGTAAATAAAAATGAATTTCGCCTTATTCTGCTAAACTGTGTAGGTCTGGACCTGTGATCAGGGAATATGGGGTGGTCTCAGAAAAGAGAATTGGCAACCCAAGGGCTGGTCCAAACCAGTTAGAGCCATAGAAACCTGTTAAAGCCATATTTCCTCCAGTGAGTTGAGTTTTAAAGCTGACGAAATTAGTGCTTCACTTTGGGTCACCTGCTATGGGGTTTTCCTTAGCAGAGTTCTAAAGCAGGAACTGTGTTTATTTATTTGCTGGATGTTTAGAAGTCAGCTGTAGTTTTCTTCTGCTATTTTAGGAGCCATTTCATACCCCATGGAGAGATGTAGAGGAGCAATTATTCCTGCATTTTGTGCCGTGGTGCAGGGGACCTTCTTCCCTATGTAGTGTCCTGTATGAGATTTTTGATTTCCTGATGACATTTTACTTTGTTACTATTTACCAATCCAAAGGCCAGGCCTATGCTGGAGTACACAGATGCAGAGATACACGAAGATGCACTTGTAATCAGAGTTTTGCAACTGAGTTTATTTCTGTTGTGTTACAAGATCTGCCATGAAACAGGAGAAGGAAACTTCAAGAATTAAAATGGGTCCTTATCTCCCTGCTGCTGGATCGTTAACAAACTATTCCTGGTGAACTGGTGAGGAATTTCTGTCAGGCAGGGCATGTGATGGTCACTTTATGAGCTGTCACAGCAAAAACAGATCCACCCTCTGCGTGCCAAAGTGAGTCAAGTGCACCTCTCCAGCCAGGATCCCTGCTACCACGGGCAAAACAGGGTGATGAAATGATTGTTGGCAATCCTAATCTGCCATGTCAGGGTTGTAATAATAATAATAATGATAATCAGGATCTTTTTTAGCAGGCTTATGTTGTGCTCTTGAAGAAGATGGGATTCTTCTTGCTGGTTTTGACTGGCTTTCTCTAAAGTGGGGCGGGTTGGCTCTGTCCTGGTGTTCAGGCTGATCTTTCATAGAGGCAATCTGAGTTTCTGCCTCTGGTTTGTCGTGAAACTCCCTCTTCACGTCAGTTCTGCATCTTGCAGTCCTTTCTACCCATCTTTGCATGAGCAGGAGCAATCCAGCGAGACCTCAGCCTCACAAAACGAGGGCACGACGTCTCCAGAGCTCTGGGAGTGCTGCTCTATATATTTGGAACCAGCTCTATTGCTTCTATAATAGGAAAGCTTCTGGAAGCTTTCTCCTTCCTCTCGCCCCAAGAAAGTAGCCTTTCAGCTGAGCTTTCATTAATTCCCAATCTGCATGGCAAAACAGTTGTAGTTTTATAGGCTAAATAATTCAGATGTAGCTCATGGATCGTGTGGCCTCGAGTGTGGTGTGTTCAGGGAGGATTTTTGCCTGTGCCCCATGAGCTGAGGGTGCAGCAGGCACAGCCCCACTCACAGGGGCTCTGCTACCCCCAGTTTGTCATTTAGGGCATGTGACAGTGCCAAGAGGTGCCAAGGCAGCTTTCTAGAAAGCAGAGTGATGTGTGAGCCCCGTGTGTTTGTCAGCAGCACTGCCCAGTGAGGGATTTACTGGTTTTGTTTTCCTCTTGGATCAAGCAGAACAAATCTAATGAGCCAGTTCTTAACTTCTTCCCAGCTGAGCAGCGAGTGATGTCCTTACCCAAATTGTGCAAGGCAGCTGAAACCTTTCAGGAATAGTTGAACAAGGGAAACACTTGTAATATTATTTTTCCCAATACTCATGCAGGGCTAAGAGGGTGCAGCAGAGCTTGTCTTTATTTTCTTTTTTCCTTTCTGAGATTTTCCTTTTGAGGGGACAACTTAGTCCTTCCAACACTTACCCACCTAGAGAGAAAGCATGTGAGCCATGAATGTGGAGCTTTCTTTCCTTCTTGACGTGATCTTGGAAAGAAAACAGGTTCTCCCTGTAGAGCTTCATTGGAATAAGCATTTCACATGCTTATCAGTACAGCAAGTAGTGCTGTTTGACAGCAGTGAGGAGTCAAATGTTGCCTTGGAGCCCTACATGCTCATTTCCCTGCTTCTGAAACACTCTGCATTTTGCCCACTGTGCATTCAGAAGTGTTTTTTTCCACTGAAAGGACCTAAAATCCACTTTGTAGCAAACACATTGCCCAGCATGATTCCAGGTGTGGATTGGAGATGGCTGAGTCCAGTCTGAGTTTCTGAGAACCTTGTCCTGCTGGGCTTTGAGTTCCTGCCAAGTCAGGGGTGAGTGGGTTCAGGGAGCTGACCACTTTGGGTTAATTCTGTCCTAGTCCAGCTCCTGGAGCAGCTTCAGGTGAGAAATTAGGCAAGGAGGCAGTGCTGATAAAGGGCAAGGTGTGAAAGACTGAACAGGCTCAGCTCCTGGAGTCTCTCCTCATGAGAGAGGTGCTCCAGACCCTTCATTGTCTTTGTGGCCTCTCTTGATTCTGCTTACATGGGAATCTTCAGTTTTCATTTACATTGCTGCTCTGTCTGGTGTGATCCAAGGATAGGAGCTTGGAGGAGCTTTGAGAAGGAAGGGCTGGAGTGAATTTGGTGGGGAGATGAGCAAAGGGTGATGGTAACCAGGTCCTGCTGCTTTGCCAGCTCTGGTTCTTGGTGCCTAGCAGAAGTGCCATCAGCTGCTTTTGGTGTGGGAATAGACACAGGAAGCTCCCCCACATGAATTCCAGCTGGAGCCCCTGGGGCAGTTTCATTGCCTTTAGATAAGATAATACCAGATCTGATTGACCATCAAACAGAGGGGAAGCTGAGCACACAAGGTTTCACAAGGCAAGTGATGCCTGTGATGGCTCCTTTAGGGTTACAAGGCAGTTTTTAGGTGTTTTAAATGTGTAGATATTAGCTGAAGAATGGTTAAAAAGAAATGGTTGTGTTCCTATAGGTGTCTAAGAGGCTGAGGACCTGGTGTGTCAGTCACCTCACTGCCACACCTGGGAGCTGCTGTGGATTGTTCCCAGTGGGAGTGTTGGGATGAGTAAAGACTTTGTGCCAAAGCCTCTTGCTTAGGAGGATCTGGTGCTGTTATAGGTGTCCTGAGGGGTGTTTGGGGAGGGAGGGATGGCTTGGCTGGGGAATGGCAGAATTGCATGTCTGGTGTGAGTTTAGTCTTTTGGAGACAAGGATCATATGACAACCTAAGCTTGAGCTCTGTGGTGACAGAATGGACATGGAACCTGGTTCTTGCAAGAAAACAAATACCCTTATCTTATTGTAAAGCCTCAGCACTGACTTTTTCCACCTTAATGGCTTCTTTTGGTATTAACTCCTCTGAGTTCTGCTCTGAAACACTTGCTGCTGCTTCCTTCTGCATCCTGAGTGTGCTGATGCTCTTTGCCCAGCTCATCCAGAGTGAGCATCCCAAAGCTTGCCTTGCATGTAGGTGGGGTGGTCAAATCTGTTTTTACACATATTTTTACCAACAGGGTGATTGTTGCTCAGATCCAGTCCCGGGGCCGTGGCCTCTTTTCAAGAAAGTAAATTTTCTGAGAGGATGTGCCCACCCTTTGAACTGGTTTGTTGATCAGTTACTGTTGCTAAAACACACTTGCACTTACCAAAATACCGAAAGCTGTAGTGAATTGCTACACAGATGGGGAGACCTTGACTGCAGCCTGGTTGAGTTGATACATTTGTTTTCCTAAACTGCAGCAGTTTTCAAACCTGGTGATAAGACAGGGAATTTTGTGGGACTGTTCCTTGAGCTGCTGTCCACGGCTGAGAGGATGTGATGCTTTCTGCTGCCAAAACCTGAGTCCTTCCCACGTCTTGTGCAGAAAGGCATATGTTTGGGGGTGGTTTCAGAGAGGGAGAAGAGCATGATTAGGGTTTTAACTTCCTCTTCTGTTTTGTTTCTCTGTGCATCTGTATTTCAGTTTTTCGGGCTGTACCCGCCTCAGTGCAAAACTTAACAAATCGGCTGCAGCTCCTTCTGCTAAGGATCAGCCTTGGTACAGAAACAGTGGTAGTTAAAAGGCAGTAAGTATATCTGCTAGCTTAAATGCTGGGATTTTTTTTTTCTCTTTGCTTTTTTTTTTTTTAATTCACAAGCACAGCTTTTTACTCCTAACACAGTAGGAATTTGTCAGGAGCTTGCTGGCATTAATAGTCTATTTCAGCTCTTTTCTATAGCCCAGCAGCTACAGAGGGGGGAAAAAGCATTCTTTGTATGGAGCTGTGGTTGGGTCTGTGCTGCAGTGCCCATCTGAACTTGCCTGTGTCTATTTTGTCAGCTTTTGCTTCCCTCTGGTAGTTGCTGGTCCCTTCCTAAATTCATGAAATCTCACCATACAATGCCAGTGCTTGGATCAGGGTTCTGGCTGCTCCTGACCTCAACCACTTCTCTTGATGGTTTTGCTTCTCTAGCTCTTCAGTGCAAAGAAGATATCTTTGGGTTTTAATTCTTTGTTTGGCTTTTTATCTTTTACTTCTCAATTGATCTCCAGAGGAGTGGCACTAGGACAAAACATGTGGTATTCTTAACCAGGGATCCATGGAGAGGGTTTCAGCTATTGGAAAAGTGAGTGGCATTCTTGAAATGGTGTGGTTGCGTTTATTTGGGTGTGGATATAATCATGTTTCTGTGATACAATTCCTGCTGAGTTTGAAATGCTAGTGTTAGTAAAGCCAGAAGGAGAGCCAGACAAAAGCTTGGAGAAAAGTCAGAATTTCAGTGCCTCTTAGTGATGGTTCATGGGAAAGTAACGATTTTGTGTTTGATTTTCCTAAAGCACCGGGCATATGCTTTTTCTTCTCTGTGAATTACTGTTTGTGAATATATATCTTTACAGCATGAGAACATCAGAAACAGCTGGTTTTGTGCCTAGGTTTCACTCATAGAGGTAGGTCCTTGTTAGAGACTCTGGGTAGTCTGATGAAAATGGTGTTTAACTACAAAGCTTCAATTTCTGCTGTTGCTGATCATGGCAGCCTAATTCCTGGTCTTCCTGAGTCCCTGGAGCAGAGGACATGCTCTCCTCCTCCTGCTCTGCCCCTGCCCTGCCTCCATCTCCTCCTCCACCCCACACGTTTCTTAGCCTTGTGTAGAGCTCAGCAGAGATTTCTTCATGAAGACTGGAATGTGTTTATATAATATTTTATATATTATTTTAGGCTCCTGCTACTCAAATGTAGGCAAATGCTTAACCTCTTATTCGCCATCATTAGACGAACTGTGGAATTGTTGTAGCAGACATCAAGTCAGGTGGATCTAAACCAGCTTCTGTTTTTTCCTGCCTAGGAGGTTCATCCTTCACCATTTTCCTGGCAAGTGTGGCTACCAAGAGCAGGTTTTCCAGGCCAGGAGTGTTTAGTGGGAGCATTGATTATGAACCACACTGATCAAGCAGTGCTGAGCTGGATATAGTGGGAGCTCTTCTATGTTGGGAAGGGAGTGATGTGAGAATCTCAATTTCTGCACAAGCAAAGGTAGGGCAGCAGTAGGAACACTGGGCAGAGCTGCTGAAAAGGAGAGAGCAACCTGCTGCACTAAATCACAGCTCCCTGGGGACACAGTTCCATAGTTAGCATCCTCAAATGGCATTCCTTTATTACGGCATCATTGTGCACGGTCCTCTAGAGAGGAAACAAACGCTCTCTAAAACAATCTGCTGGCAGCTCAGGCTGGAGTATTTGAGGTTTTCCAGGGCTCTTTTGCTGTGTCACTTTTCCCTTTAATGTTCCAGCTTGAAGGTTGTTGTTCTTTCTCCATCAAAGTGCGTTAAAGCGCCGGTAAGAGTGTCTGCTCCAAGGACAAGGTGGAGAAGGCAGCAGCCCAGGGAGAACAAGAGATACTGCAGAACAGCTTTGTTTTGGTGTAATCTGTCTTATCTGCATGTGATGCAAAGACAGGGCAGTTTTCACAGGACCTGGAGGCTGCGTGGTGACATGTTTTCTGTCCTTTTATAAAATCCGCCACGTTATTTTGATTAGAGCGCTAACGTAACTCCTGGCAGCCTCAAATCTCACTGCTAGCAGCTACTTCCCTCCAAAGCCTGATGTGGTGTTAACAAGCAGAGAGATCTTGTGCGTCCTGTTTACATGGAGCTGGGAAGACAGCGTGTTCTGTGGGAGGTGCCAAGGTAGCTGCAGTTGGATATAAGGTGAAAAAAACTCTGTGTGTGCAGACAGGCCTTGGTGGGGCGTGTTCATTTGTGTTTGGTGGTGTTCAGGAACTCCAGCTGCAATACTGGCATGATGATGTTATGTTCTTTTATATCTGAATATGTATCTTTTATATCTATGCATGTGTAGCATGCTTGTGTTTGTATCTATTTATATTGATATGTATATAGCTATTCTCTCTCATAGGAAAGTCCATGTCCTGATCATCTGTGCTTGTGATCTTCTCACGTAGCTCTCTGTTGTTCAGTTTTTAGGTGGCAGAGGCACGAGTGTGGGGCAGGCAGAGCTGATGGGGGAGCCTGGGGTGTAGCCCAGGATGGACTGGCTGTGACGACGTGCCTTAGCTGGAGAGAGGTCGTTACCATGAAGAGTTCCTGCAGAGCTGGCCTCCACAGGGAACCACTCAATTCCACATCCTCCACCTTCCATCAAGTCAAACGGTACGAACAGACTGGCTGCTCTGCCTGCAGCTGAGGATTCTGCACTGATTTCTGCCTTCTCCTTGTCCTCTCCTATTGTCTTGTGCTGTCACTCAAACGTTTGCTCTACATTCTGATTTTTGGGTGGCGTTTAAGCGAAACGTTGTAATGGCTTAAGGGCAGAAACGTTCTCTGACGTTTTTATTTGATAATGACAACTACAGATTCACTGCAGCTGGTAGTGTACTTGCAGAAGTCCTTGGGTTTTCTAGCAGCAGCTGTAAATCAGTTTGGGAAACGTGACTTTGAAGTAAAACTTAATTGGTGAAAGGCTCATCAGAGTAGGCTTTAAAACATGCAGGCAGCTTAAAGCAAGTGGAAATGCTGGCAGTCACTGTTGTGGTTTGTCTTACTATGGACTAAGTAATTAGATTAGTTTAAGCTCAGATTTTGCATTGCTCACTCTCCTGTGTCTCTTATTAAGGAGAAATGCACGACTGATTTCAAACACTTGTGCTTATGTGACAATTAAGTGAACGCCTCTCAGTGTGTCTCCTTATAGGAACACGGTGCAGAACAACTTGTCCTCGTGCAAATGCAAGGACATGCCAGTTTGCTGGAGTTCAAACTACTTCAAAATATATGTGTATTTTTTTTTTTTTTTTAATTCTTTTTCTGAAACCAAGGCTCTTAAACTTCCTCAGTCTGGAGGAAGAGCGCCAGCTTTTTGGTTTCCAAAGGCTGTGTGGGTTTAAAGCAAACTTTTAACCTTTGTTCTTTGTGGTTGTGTAGACAGCATATACTTGCTATGTTAGTCTCATGGTAATTTAATGCTGGAAAAGACTTCCTGGGTCACCCAGCTCCTTGCTTTCCCAAGCAGGATCTCATAATCCCTTTTGTGAATTTAATCCATCCTAAAAACATTTACATCTTTTCTTGAATCTTGTCTTCCTTCCTCCTGTAGATTAAGCTATTACTGAGGATGACAGATCTTGCTCTGCAATTAGGAACCTTCTTTTCATTCCCAGGCTGAACATTCATGACAGTTTATAGACTCATTTGAGTTTTTGTTCCTTTATTTTCCTTCTGCCTAAAGACCACTGCTTATTTTCAGTGGTTTACCTCTTCTGCATTCTGTAAAAGGGGTTTATAATCTTCACCTGTGGTTTTGCTAAGTCACCCAAGTGTTCTCTAGTAGCTTCTTGTGATTCCCCTAACAGAATATTCTTAGTCCTGGCTAAAAGTGTGTGCTGTGCTCTGGAGCTGCTCTGGCTGAAGGGCTTCTCACTGCTGTCACAGCATCACCTCCACTTCCCTATTTCATGGTTGTCTCTATGGTGGCCAGTTCTCCTCAAGTTACTTCTATAATTTATTGGTGTTCCTCTTGCTGGTGCATCACTGCCTGCATTTCAAAACCCTCCTCAGTTTCTGTTAATTGGGGTTTTGTGCCTCTGCTGTTTTGGAACTGCCTCTATTTCTGTGGGTGCAGAATTAGTGCTGAGGTCATTCCTAACAAAATCAGATGTTCCCAGGGCTGATTCTTGAGGCATGTCTTTGGTTTCCAGGCTGGTATTTTCTTATTCAGCATCACCTGGGGCTGTCTGCTGCTAAGCCAGCTCCTTTGTCTGTTTTCCCACTCCTCTGCCAATCTGTCTTAACCAGTAAATCTCTTTGTGCTCTCTGAAGTCCATGTGAGGAAGATATAGTAGATTGGTCTAAAAAGATGGCTTTTTTTGAGAACCTTGAGGTTAGTCTGGCATATTGAACTATTCCCTCTTCCCCCTTTTTCTCTGTGTCACATTAATCCTCTTTGCTTGCAAAGCACCTTTATATTGGAGTCAGAATATGAGCCCTGGAGAGGCTGCAATCATTCTCCTTCTCTTTCTCCCCTGCAGTGCCCCCTCCAATGTGCCACATGTTTATTATCTCCTATTGTTGCCTTTCAAGAGGTTTATAAATCCTGTTTCTTGGCCTGCAGTGCATGAGCCTATCTGGTTTGGATTCTAAAACTGGGATGAGCCAATCCTCACAATTTTTATGAAGCTCTCTAATCCTCCTCCTGCCAATGCTCTTGTTCAGATTAACGCCTGGGCTTTTGCCTTCATCATCACCCTTACCTCCCCTCTTTAAAAATGGTGCAAAGTCAAATTTGGTATTTTTGTTGTACTCTTGATCTCTGCCCTGCCCTTGCTTGCAGCCCTATTTCTCTTTTCTCTCACAAACTGAAAAAAACCCCTTTCACTATTTCTTATTGTTAAATATCTCTGCAGTGACTTAACATTGCACCAGTTCTCATGTTTATTCCTGGACTTTTTGATCTCTAAGATTGAAGTTTCCAAGTGATGTGACCTGAAACTTGTGTCTGTTTCTGGTATCCTTCACAAAGAAGGATCACATCCAGTTGGAGTTGCTTTGGGTCTTGTTTGGGATGTGTTCTTAGTAATGAAAACACCACCTGACTCCTGGAGAATGTTGTGTGCAGTGAAATCCTCCCCAGCACAGCTGACTTCATGAACCAGTTTCTTTCAGTCTTGAGTTTCAAAAGGGCAATCTGATCACTTGCCTTCAGCTCTACTTTTGCATGTTTTTTCTTTTGAATGCTGAGTCTGTTACTGATTGTGTGGTCCAAGGTTAATTTCTGCAACCTTTCATGTGTTCTCATTACTTATGCACAAAAATGAAGGCTATAAATAGCATCACTCTGTGTTGGTTCATTAAAACAGGAAATTTGTTGCACTATGATATGAAGAAAGGTCTTGGTCCTCTTACACTTTATAAATCGGGAAACAAATTAATAAAGGTGAAACATTTCCAGAAGGACACTTGTCACTTACCTGTGTTGCTCTGGGTAGCTTTCAGCAGAAGCCCTCTGAAACCACCAATTTTTGTCTTGCTGTCCCTCTGTGATTTCCCCTCATCCTGTCCCACCACAGCCATGTGTGCCATCCCATCATCTCTGAGCTACACGTTTCTGGAGCAGCTGATAACCTGAATTCCAAATCTTTCAGTTTACTTTGTTCCCTTCTGTTTTGTCACCTCTGTGTCATGTCTGGTATGGTTGGGAAGAAGGGCTTTGAGCTTCCTGAGGCTCAGCACAGAATTGCTGCTACATCTCTCCCTTCATGGTAAGTGCTTTTATACAAAAGCCTGGCAAAGCAGTGGCACTTCTTCCCTACAAAATTTAGGAGGTAGCCAAGGCAGCTGTGCTTTACTGAAGGGGGTGTGTGTGTGTTTAGTGTAAAACATGTTCAGAACATTGATGGCTGGGAGCCCTCAAAGTGGAGTGGTCTGTGTTGGGTTTGGGGTGCATTCTGTCACCAAAACCTCTGTGTCCTGCAGCTGATGGGCTTTGTGGGATGGATTTTCTGGCTGTGCTGTGTGCAGCTGTATTTTTGGGTGTTGTCTCCTCCAGAGTCAGGTTATCTGAGCACCTGACACAGGTGAACAAGCTGGGGAGGGACCCAGCGTTAGGAATTGTGTTCTTACAGTGCACTGAGCTCCTCAGCTCTGCTGGGCCAGCTCTGCCCCACGGTTTTGGCATTTTTCCACTTGCCCCAGGCTGGCCACTGGAGCAGAGAGCTCTCCTTCAGCAGCCACCATGCCTTCCTGTTTGCCTTCAAACCCCACTCTAATCCTTGCTGGCTCTCCCTTTGCTGCAAGAGGCATTTTGGAGGTGTTGGGAGGTGGGTCAGGAGCAGTTGCTGCTCCAAGGGGAGTGGGTTTTCAGGAAATCAGATCTTCCACAGCTGCCAGAGTTGAACCCACCCCTGCTCTGGAGCTTCCCAGCCCTCCTTTCTCTGAGCTTGGACCTTTGCCATGCTCCAGAACAAACTCCATGAGTAGCAGAGCTCCTTCCATCCCGGGACTTTCCCGCCCCGGCAGAATCCATGGAATGCCTTTGAAGCAGCTCCATGTCTGCTTTGCCTTGCCCTGGCAGTGCAAAGGGGATGGAAATGGCACTGGAGATGGAGCCCAAAGGACCCACCAAGCCCTTCCAGAAATAACAAGTGGTTGACCGTGGTTAACTCCCACTCAGTGCTCAGTCCTTGCTAATTGTCAGTGTCCTTTATAGAGGAAAACTCTATGGACAGAGAACTGGGATTCCAGGGAAGAGGAATGCTTTGCCAGAGGTGTGAGGTTTTTATTTTTGTTGATTTTTTTTTCCCTTCCTTTTTTTTTTTTTTTTTGGGCTTCTGCCTTGTGTTAGTATGTCCTGAGGGGTTTTTCAGAGTTGTAGTTGGCACTGGGTGTGCACTCAGCAACGTGAGGAGCTTTTGTCGACTGGAGTTGGTGTTTACAAGGAGAAATCCATAGGAAACTTGGGGGTTTTGATGGAAATTTTCACCCTCATAAAAACTACCAGTGCTTTGCCCAGAAAACTTGCAGTGTGAATATGCTGTTTGCGTAGATTAGGCGTTTTTGTTGTTTTTGTTATGTTGCTGTTCTTGCTGGCCAGAGGAAATCTTTTGGCTTCACAGGGCATCATCAGAGTCCCTGAGCTGGGAGCTGCAAGGGGAATTAAGGCTGGCTGTGGACCTTACAAAGGAGTTGTGAAAACTTGAGTCTTTTCTAGCAGTTTTTCCTCCAACTCTGGAGTTTCCACTTAAGCAAATATATTATTGTTTTAGGCTGCTGTGATTTAGAACATACATAAATACAAAAGGATGCTGGAAGATTCTGGCCAGCTTGGCAAGTAGTAGAATCATGGAATGATTTGGGTTGGAAAAGACCTCAAAGGCCATCTCATTCCAACCCGTTGCCATGGGCAAAATCACCTCCCACTAGACCAGGTTGCTCCAAGCCCCATCCAGGCTGGATTTGGACACTTTCAGGGATGGGGAGTCCACCAGTGGGTTATGGGTCTTCCCTTGGGTGGGGAGAGGAGAGGTATGAGTATCTGAGCTCATATAAAGGAATATATTTCTGTATCAACAACGTGGAGTAACCAACTTGATAAAACTGCAGTGGAAACAAGCTGTAGTTACAACTTGTAAAAACAGCAATGTCATTCCAGCAGTGCAAGTATCCTGTTTTTCAGACATGGCTGATTAGAAATAGAAAATCTGGCCCCTTTATTTCATCAACTTAAGGATGGAATAACAGTATAAAGGCAGCACTGCTCGTTGTTTCAGTGCTGATCATTCCTGGCAGAATTCTCTCTTATCAGCAATTTAAAACCGCACATTTGGGATTGAAAACCTTTTATGTTTGCTCCTGTGGACTTCTGAAGAGTCGTTGTCTCTAAAGATAAAATTAGAGAGCTCGATAACTTAAAGGGTGGAGGAAAGCAAAACAGAATTATTCTGGAATGAAATGTCATAGGGAATATGTGACTTCACCTTTTAACAACTATTTTTGGTGGTTTTAAATATTTAAAAGCTTACCTGCAGCTGCCACAGCTCTCTGCTTGCCAGCACTGAGAAACAGGGGAGTCTGTGGGTGGGGACTGGGCTCTGGTTCATCTTCAAAGCAATTTCTGCTGGGAAGCCTTGTTCTAATTGTAGGAGCTAGAGATGAAATGTGCTGCTGACGTGCAGGGAAGAAGCTGTGATTGCCTGAAAGTTCATTCTCAATGTCCACAGCAAAGGGCTTGTGAGGTGGGGGCTCGCTTTTTCCAAGGTAAGGCCCATTGCTAAGATGATTTTAAAATGAAAGTTCTCTTCCCTGCTGCTGGAAAACTCTGAGGCAGGTGGCAGCTGGTCTCATGGAGTTTGCAGTGCTCTTTATAGCTGTCTGAAGTTATTAGATGAAGGTTTTCTTTAAATCCGGATCCATTAAAACATGTGCAATGAACTGAATGCTGAATTCAAATGAGGCAATTATTCTGGCAGTAAAACTTCTGACTAAGGCATAATTTTGTTATGTAAATTATAACTTTTCAACCTTAAATGGTATTGTTGGCTTAGCCAGGGACTAACTGAAACATAAGAAATATAACCTTAAACAAGAAATCTGTAATAGGTGAAGCAGAACTTTACCCTTTGTCTTTCTCCATAGACCAGAAATAGCTGGGAGCAGCTGAACCAACTCTGCTGGCTGAACATGTCCCCTGAGCCTGTTGGGGTAACCAGTTTGGTTCTCTTTTTATTCATATAATACCTAGTCTCACCTCCACTTGCAGCTTCTCTTAATGAAGGGTGTTGAGCTGATTGTCCTGCTGGATTCCTGAAAACTGCTCGAAGAAAGGCTTTTAAAAACAAGCTCAGCTCCTCTTTCAAACACCTTGGCATGAAAACTCATGAATGAAATTTGATCTTCTGCTCCTGGCTCAGGAGATTTCAGCATGCAAAGTCGTGTTTTAATTGTATTCACCTCTTCTCCCCAGGGTACGGTGGTGAGCAGCCACCAGAGCTTTTTTGTCTCTAGTCTGGGAAATGTCCTTCTGGAAGGGAAGGGAGGGGAAGGCTGCAGGCACTGTTCTCTGCAGCAGTTTGCTGCAGTGCTTCACCTGCTGCTCTTCTGGGCTGGGCTTTGGCCAGGTCACATCAGTGACCCTGGTTCACTGTGAAGTACAACAAGAATGAGGCAGCCCCTGTGAAAAATGAGGCCAAAGCAAAGTCCAGCAGCCTCCATTTCCCATTCTTCTCTCCATGCATCTATTTCAACGCCCCAAAGTTCTATTTTTATGAAATTATTTTAGTTTTTAGCATCCGACTGAGGATGCAAACAAAGTAGCTCAGTTGCATTTTGCAGAGGAAACTAAACTGGGAGTTGACCCAATTCCAACGAGCTGGAATTGGCACACAGGAGGGGAGAGAATTAACCCAGGGGCTGGGTAGCTGTGTCTGCAGCACTGGGATCTCTTACCCCCACAGTCTCCAGGTGAGATGCAGGTGGTTTTGGCATTGTCTGGTTGCAAGAGGCTGGTGATGGTCTCTCTAAAAAATCCAGAGGGAAGGAACGTGACATCCACCTTTCCAGCAGCTGCTTCCTGGCCTTCAAAGCCCTGCTTGGACCAAAGCGGTGTAGAAAGGTGAACTAAGCCCTTCCTCTTGATGTACCTCCCCAAAATCTCTGTGCCTGCCTCCCTTCTTGTCACTAGGGCCAGAAGGAGGAACCAAACCTGCAAGGAAAGCAGTGGTTAGGCAGCACAGCTGCTTCTAGTCCTGGAGGCTTCCTCTGCTTGGGCAACATCACTTACACATTTCTTGGACTTTATAGACCAACAAATTGAGGTTTTTAGTTAAAAGCTGATTTTAGGCTAGAAACCTACAACTTTGCCATACTTAACTCTCTTGATGTTGGCTCTCGAGGGAAGCGTGTTCAGTGCCTGGATGTGTCTGTGTCAGCTCATTATGAACGTGACATTGAACCTGCTGCTCTTCAACTCTAGAGCACAGATCATCCCTGAAGAGGAGGCCTTTGAGTGCAACAACTCAAAGATTACCATGGAAACATAATCTATAGTTAGTTCTGTAATGTGCTTATGTGGTACTCCTGGGAGAGGAGCCTGGAGTCTCCTGGTGGTTGCATCCTGTGTGGCAGTGCCCCGGGCTCTGGCATTCCTGAGCTTTGAATGGAAGGTGACTGTGGAGGTGTGACAGGACAGAGGAGTCTGGAGCTGCTGCTGCAGCGTCAGCAGCATCCAAGGGGTCCTTCACAGCTCTGGAGTTGCTGACTGTAAAATCCCGTCCTTGGGAGTGGGTGCCCTCAGCCGGATGCCATGCTGCTGTCACTTTTGGGGGGCATCTGTATGTATAACATCAGGACCCTTATGGGAAAGTCACCAAATTTACCATTATCAATATGCTAAAGGGGAAAGGTTTCATTGCCTGGAGAAGCTGTGGCTGCTTCATCCCTGGAAGTGTCCAAGGATGAGCTGGATGGAACTTGGAGCAACCTGAGATAGTGGAAGGTGTCCTGCCCATGGAAGAGAGTGGAAAAAAATGAGCTTTAAGGTTCCTTCCAGCCCAAACCACCGGGTGATTCTGGGTGACACTAGGAGATTAGATATCCCCTGGGATCTCAGATTGATATAATTACTCTTGCTAATTTCCCTTTTGAGCTTTAACCACATTTTATCTACTGAAAAAAGTGTGTGTGGAAGCTGATGTCCAGATAAAGCTGTGACCCATGTGTGCCTTATAACTGGGTTAAGGAATGAACAGGCAGAAGGATGGCTCTAGCTCAAGAATGAACCACTAGCTATGTTTTCACAACTGATACAACTTAAACTGTAGGATTTCTCCTTGCAACTGCCTGGAAACAGATTTCTCTAATGGGAAGTTCTCTCCTACTGCAGGAAGTTCTTCAAGGGTGGATCTTGCAGCCTTGGTGGCTCTTTTCCTTTCTCATGTGGTTCCTCTTGAGATGTGGGCTGCTCTGGGCCACCTTCTCTAATTCCAGACAGGCATATTTTGCAACTATAACTTCTTCCCTCTCTGTTTTTCCAGGGTTTCTGGTATGCACTTAAAGCCATATCTCAAGTTACAGAAGAAAGAGCGATCCCCAGAAATAAGCCAGGATTCCCTGCGGGGCCACCAGGGACCAACACAAGGAGAAAAATACACCAACTGCACCAAACTGAGCGTTTTCCCAAAACCCTCCCTCGTGGCTCCGTCTCAAAAACTCCTGGGGATTATTTATCCAAATACTATGTGCAATATGAACGGGAAAGGCCCGGCGGAGAAGAAGAACGCCCTGTCTGCCACCATCCACCAGGGAGAAGAAGGGGAAGGGCCGCTGGATGTCTGGGCTGTGGTGAAACCTGGCAACACCAAGGAGAAAATCGCCTTCTTCGCAGCCCAGCAGTGCAGCAGCAACACCCGCACGGGCTCCATGAAAATCAAGAGCACGTGGGACATCGACGGGAGAACGGCCAAACGCAGGAAAAAATCGGTGGATCTTAAAAAAGCCAAAATTCAACTGGAAAGGATGAGGGAGGCGAACGCCAGGTGCTCCCAGCCGGAGCCTTTCTCCTGTGGCATCGAGCACTGCTCGGTGCATTTCGGCAGTGACGGCGGCGAGGCCGCGTTCCCCGGCCGCTCGCTGTCCGTCATCGAGATGGTGGCCTTCCTGGAGCAGCGGGCCAGCGCCCTGCTGGTGGACTGTGCCAAGACCTGCACGGCCTCCTCTGCCACCAGGCTGAGCGCCCAGCCCAAGGCCGCCCTGCCCTGCTCCGACCCCTTCTCGTCGGGCGAGGCGCAGGCGGAGCGGGGCGAGCCCCAGGGCGAGCCCGTGCGGGTGCTGGACATGGTGGCCAGGCTGGAGTCCGAGTGCCTGAGGCGGCAGAGCGAGCGGGAGGCCGGGAGCCTGTCCCGCAACAACAGCTTCCGCAGGAACGTGGGCAGGGTGCTCCTGGCCAGCGGCACCCAGCCCGAGGCAGAGGTGGGCAAGGGGGTGCCGGCTCAGGGGGATGGCCTGGGGGAGGCAGGGGTGGCAGAGGCTGGGTTTGGGGGTCGCTGTGGCCCTCTGGGTGACACCGAGCTGTGGGATGGCAGCACCTCTGCCCAGCAGCCGTTTCCTTCGGGGCTGGATACCCGGGTGGGGAATGTGAATTCGGGACTTGCCCACGCGGTGTTGGCGATGACAGCCGGCAGGAATGACGCTGAAACACGGATTGAGCCTCCCAGGGCTCTGCTGTCCCCGTGTCCAGCTGCTGCCAGGCTGCCACCGGATCCCTTGCAGAGCAAGAACGCGACTGTTGATTGTACGTTGAAAGAGCCTGTGATTTTCCCAAAGCATCCTGCTAGGAAGGAGCCCTTATGCATCAGTATATCAGTCACCAAGACAGAGGAAGGGTGCAGGAAGGAGAAGCTCTCCAGTTCTGGTGAGGATTCACTCCCTGGGAGGCTGTTTTTCCTCCAGGGTGAGCAGCCTGCTGCTCACGAGCAACAGCCACAGCGGGAGAGTACCCAGGAGAAGCCAGGGGCAGTAGCCCAAAACGAGGATGAGGATGCTCTGGCATCCGGTAGATCGTGTGTCAGCAGCAGTGTGCCTACAGAGCCATTGGTCCCTTCTGTCCCTCCCACAGAAGGGGCTTTGCAAGTACTTGATCCTTCCTGCCTAAAGCGGCAGGTTTCACATGACTTTCTGGAGACCAGGTTTAAAATCCAGCAGCTTTTGGAGCCTCAGCAGTACATGGCCTTCTTGCCTCACCACATCATCGTGAAGATCTTCGGGTTGCTTCCCACCAGGAGCCTGGTTGCCCTAAAATGCACTTGCTACTACTTCAAATTCATCATCGAGTACTACAACATCAGGCCGGCAGACTCGCGCTGGGTGCGCGACCCTCGCTACCGGGAAGACCCCTGCAAGCAGTGCAAGAAGAAATACGTGAAGGGGGACGTGTCCCTGTGCAGGTGGCACCCCAAGCCCTACTGCCAGGCCCTGCCCTACGGGCCTGGCTACTGGATGTGCTGCCACCGCTCCCAGAAGGGCATCCCAGGCTGTAAGTTGGGTCTCCATGACAATCACTGGGTCCCTGCCTGCCACAGCTTTAACCGTGCGATCCACAAGAAAACCCGAGGAGCAGGAGCAGAGGTGGAAGAGGAATATTAGTGCACAAACACTTTCCTGCAAGATTGTTTGGGATAGGAGGAGGAGGAGATTCTCATGCCTTGTGCTGTTTACAGTGTATATAATTGTCGTGATTTTTTTTTTTTTTTCCCCCCACAGGGCTATGAAACTGCACATACTCAAACACAAGAGCCTTTACCTTTTAGATTAAAAGAGAGCTTTTAGTCCATCTCTGTAAATAACACTATAAAAACTAATTGTACATACAGAGTCTACAGCTGGCTGAACAAGGTAACCCCTACAATGCAGCTATCCCAGTGTTGCGGCTATAGGTGTGTGTGTTTTTAAGTGTCTTGTTTCAAAATCTGTATATCCTGTATAATATATGAATGTTTCTGAGAAGAAACTCTAAATAGGTAAAGGTAAACTTGTTTAAAGAAGCTGCAGACAACTTAACTGGACAACCTGAAACTTTAGGCTATAGAACAAATCCATTATAGTAGTGTGGCAGTGGATTAAAAAAAAAAAAAAGAGAGAGGAATATTATTGTATAGTCAGAATATAAAAAAGTTCTTGTCTACCTTACCCATGTTGTCTGGTTGGGGTTTTTTTTTTACATAAATAAAATGTGCATTCTAGATCTGCCTTACCAGACTTTCTCTTGTAAGACTTTTGCCCCAAAATAAAAATGCTGTAAAACACGTGGCAGAAACTTGGTGCTGTGCTGTAGTTCAGACGTGCAATGTGCTTTCTCTAGCAAACCTGTCCTCCTACTAACAAAGAAACAAAATCCCCCCAAGTCCCTGCTGTAACATTCACAGATTCCAGCTTTTCCTTTCCTTCCTGCCAGCCCTGTGTGCAGCAGAGGCTCCTTTCATCAGGAATTCCGGTGCTAGGTGTGTAAAGCTTGCAGAAACCAGGCCCTTGGTGGTTCTCCTGCTTCTTGGCTCTTGTGTGGGCACCTGTCCTGTTCCCTGGATGCTCCTGGAGGATGGAGTGTGGCTCCAGCAGGATGAGTGTGGAGTTGCTTTGGCTCTGTGAGGTGCTGGAACCTTTTCTCTCTGCTCTGTATGGAATTTTTTCCTTGCAAGAAGAATCCTTGCCGTGCTCTGCTCTGCTGCCTCTCCTCCCGGTGCTGTGGGTCGGTTCTTCCCAGGGCAATTGCAGAGGTTTGTGTCGGATGAACGGTGATTCCTCACACTCAGAACAGGAGTGGAGCACCCGTGGCAGAATTTCCCTGGATCCATCCCTGTCCTGCTGTGCTGTGAGCCAGACCTCAGCCTCCTGTTACACCCCTGGGAGGGGGTGGATGGTTTGGAAGCCTGGGAATGGACCCTGGCCAGTCCAGCAGCTGTTCTCCAGGGAGCCCAGCAGAGCGTGGCAGCCGTGCCTTTGCCCTGGCCACGTCCCCTTGCTGCTGTTGCTGTTCCTCTGCCCCTTCTCAGGGCATGGATGGACTCCTGGCTCTCACCATTCCAGCTGGAGCAACCAAAATCTCTGACCTGGTGCAAGAAGAGCTGGGGCCGTCTTTCCATGGGGCTCAGCTCGGACCTTCCTCTGCCCTGCATACCCAAAGAGCTGCTGGAAAGGGCAGGGCTGGGTGGCCCTGCACCTGGCTCATTCTCTTCTCTGTCCTTTGGTGCTGGAGCAGCAAGGTGTGGAAAACTGCTGGCTATGGGGGCCAGGCTGAGCCACCCAGCTCCACCTGGTTTTGGAGCATCAGGAGGAGAAAAGGGGGTTTGAAGGTGAATGCTTTTGTTCTTCCTTTAACAGTGGGAGAAGGAAAATCAAGCCCTGGCAGCCTGGAATGTGGGTTTGGTGAGTTCAGGCTTTTCAGGGAGGTTTAAAGGATGTGCTGGTTTTATATTTTGCCTTCACCTGCTCCTGCCACCCCTCCCGGTGCTGCTCAGCCTCCCTGCACTGCAGACATGATGACAACCAGGAGGAATGAAATTAGGAATCTAAAAGAAGGGTGTGGTCACCTTGTAATCGGCTGGGAAGAGGGAAAGTGGGATCCCTCCTTAATCCCTGACTTCATCCTCTAACGGGGTGCAGGCTTCACCCAAACTTCCATCTCCTTCCTTGGCTGTGCCCGGACCAGCAGCAAAACAACCTCCAGGTTGTTGTTTTGCCAAAGCCACCGGCATCAAAGGCCTTCAGCTTAATTTGGATTAGGGGAAAAAGGAAAGAAGCTGCTTTCCTGCCCCCTCCACCCAAGACTGGAAAACTTGAGGCTGACAGCAGCGAGGAAAGTCCCTGCAAGGCTGGAATGGAGAGGCAGAGGAAAATATTTTGTAATTAGATAAGGGGCCAGTGAGGTCATTTTATTTGGAACAGGGTGTGAGATCTTGGTCACTTTTGTTGAACAAGGGGAAAAACGAGGATAAAATAGTATCATGAGGCTGTTTTGTTTTTGGAGCAGGTAAATCCAGAGGACAGCTTGGTGTCTCCCCTACCCTACCCCATCCCTGCCCTCCCCCCGGGCTGGCTGGAGAGCGTGGGCTGGTTTATACATCATTTATTACGTTGTTTGCCAGAACTGTCCCTCCTGCAAAGCATTGCTGTTAAAAATTGTTTCACAGAGCAAGCTTTTGCATCGAGAAGTGGGTTGGTTCTGAGTGTTGCCATGCTGAGCTGCCTGCAGGCTTTATTTTTTTCCTGTAACGTTGTAAACTGCAGATTTCTGTTTCCTTAAGGGATGAATCAGGGAGAAGCCAAGGTCTGATGAATGTTAGGGTTTTGAGTTTTTTTTCCTAAGAAGCAATTTTAAAAAATAATAAAATCCAGTGTTGGATTTACAAAACTCAGTGTTTAGAACTGAGGATGAAGGACTGCACCATGTGCTTGACTTCCTTGCCTGGGAGCATTTGGAGTGTCTGGACTGAATTTCCAGATAGGCCTGTGAAGAAGTTGTAATAACATTTCCATTGTCCATAAGCTTCCAGTTTTCATCAAGCTCTGGGGCTCTCCTGGCATGGACAGCACTGTGAAAGCTGCCTGTGGCTGAGCCTTGTGGTTGGGCTCTTGCTCCATCCTGGCTGTTTCTGCAGCAGCTTTTCCCTTTGCTGGGCCCTGTTCCCTGTGGAAAAATCCTAGGATGCTGCAGCAGAGTTCAATTCCTTGTGTTGGACCCAGGTCCTTTCCTGCAGCATCTGCTCCTGTGCCAGCCCCTGGAGCTGTTGGTGAGGCCACGGAAAACTCCAAGGGCTGGAGCCCCTCTGCTCCGGAGCCAGGCTGGGAGAGCTGGGGGTGCTCACCTGGAGAGGAGAAGGATCCAGGGAGAGCTCAGAGCCCCTTGCAGAGCCTAAAGGGGCTCCAGGAGAGCTGGAGAGGGACTGGGGACAAGGCACGGAGGGACAGGACACAGGGAATGGCTTCCCACTGCCAGAGGGCAGGGATGGATGGGATATTGGGAAAAAATCCTTCCCCATGAGGGTGGTCAGGCCCTGGCACAGGGTGCCCAGAGCAGCTGTGGCTGTCCCTGGACCCCTGGCAGTGTCTTAAGGCTGGACAGGGTTTGAAGCAACCTGGGATAGTGGAAGATGTCCCTGCCCATGGCAGGGGTGGAATGAGGTGATATCTAAGGTCTCTTCCAAGCCAAACCATTCTGGGATTTCACACCTGCACAGAACTGCACTGACAGATCCAAGCTGTGTCTCAACTCCCACTTCTTGCACAGTGGAAATGGTGCTGAAGCCTCACCTGGGGCTGTTTCTCCTTCCCACCTGCCTTTGGCTGGTCCAGGCAGTCCTGGTGCAGGGACAGCTGAGGGCAGTACCAGGCTGCTCTCCTGCCACAAACCAGAGTGGGCCGAGGACAAAAGCTGCTGTTCCAGCTCTAGCAGAAGTGGCCTGAGTGTTTTGTCTGCATAAGCTGAACTTGGCCCAGACTTTGCTTTGCCCCTGGCCATGATCTGACTGTGCTGTGACCGAGGCCATGAGCTGCCCCAGCTGTGTGTGCACGAGCCCCAGCTGGCTGCTGCTCCCACTCCTGAGTGTCCAACAGCCAGGAATTGCAGGGCCATCAGTCCTCCCCATCCAGTATGTCACAAAAAACAGAGTGGGAAGAGTTGTTTCTCCTGCAACATCCACAGCCTGTGAACCATGGGCAGAGCCTGCTTGGCCCTTTCCCATCCCTGTCACTCTGACACCACTTCAGTAACTCCATCCTTCAAAAAACACCTTCTTGCATCCTGAAATGAGCTTGTAACGAGGAGCCTTTGCATGCAGAAGGAATCCAGCACCTGCAGAAACTTCCCCCCAGCACAGGAGCAGCCCTGAGCCAGGCTCACCCAAGAGGTTTATCCGTTTACATGTACATAGAGAGATGTGTGTGTGTGTTGTGCAGGACTCCACCCCCTGCTCCCATGGAGATGCAGTTATTTTATGTAAGAGTATTTTTTTAGAATGGGTATTGCTTATTCCACCGCTGTACAACTGATTGCACTGTAACAGGTCTGGTCCCTGTGATGCTTTGAAGGCTGGAAATTCTTGTGTACTTTGCCCAGCACGGTGAAAAACAAACCACACAGAAGTAACAGTCATAAATATACAACTTTAAAAAAATTACTGTTAAAGATTTATTGCAATAATACAATAAAATTTAGAAGAAAAAAAAGAACAAAAAAAAAACAAAACAAAACAAAAAAACCCAAAACCATTTGTGTTTAGTTACGTCTTAAGTCTGGAAGTTGTGAGAGAGGGGCTGCGAGTTTCCCCAGGTGACAAAGCCACCCTGGGTGTCCCACCCGAGACCCTGCACAGGCACCTGATTTTCGGCACAGGGCTGGGCCCCCGAAATCAGGCTCTTCCTTGGCAGCCCAAATTGGCCACCCCAGGTCGCTGGTCATGACCAGAAGTCCCGGCCCAAACTGAACTTCCCGTGTTCATGCTACACAAAATGTTCTGTAAACTCTCAGCTGGCTGCCTTCAAATATCTATAATTACAGATATTCCTGCCCTCCCTCCCCCACCCCCCCAGACAACCTGGGAAATGAATCCTGGTGATTGCACTCAAGGTTTGGACACAATTCTTCCTCAGCTACACATGTGCAAAACACTTTTAAAAAAAACCACCACAACCTTGTGTTCTGTTACAAAAAAAGTTCCATGAAAAGCCCAACCCCAACACATTTGAACACCCTCACGGTGCCCTTGGGCACTCTCAGAGTATGACAGGGTTGCAAATAAATTATTTCGGAAAACATGGATAGGAAGTATATGGCTTAGAAAAGTTACTGTGTTGGATTTTCTTTCCCTAAGTTCAGTGACAGTGCACGAAGCTGAGTCATGGCCTGACCTTCCGGGGCTCAAAGCACAAAGGCAGCAATGAAAAAGGGACTGAAATGCCTATTAAAAAACAACAACAACAAAAAAGGTATTTAGATGGCGGGGTCCAGTGCAAAATCCACAGGGAAGCAGAAGGGGCTGGGCTGCGAGCCCAGTTTCCAATACTGGCGTGTGCTGGTTGCTCAGAGCTGTGAGTGATAAAGTGCTGTGAGCCAACAGAGCCCAAAGCCCTGAGCTCAGCCTGGCAGCAGGGCTGGGGACACTGGCCCCCATCAGGCTGCAGCAGCCCGGGGGCCCGGGCTGTTCTCCTAAAACAAACCCAGCTCTTGGAGCAGAGGAGCGGCGGGAGCAAGGGTGGCGGTGTCTGACAACGTGCGTGGTTGGGGTCTTTGGTTTAAAAAAAAATAAAAAAGAAAAATCAGAAGAAACTACTGACAACACATGCCCAAGCTCAGGGTTGAAGAGAAGCAGCTGCCGTGGAGGGGTGGGTGGCACAATGGCACCCTGGCATAGGGCACATGGGTGTCACTGCCACATCTGGCTTCCCACCCCTGGGTGGGGACAGGGGCAGCACTGGCCAGCCTGGACAGGAACAGAGAAATCCACCACGAAACACCCTGTGAGGTGGCTGGGAAAGCCAGCCCTGGGGCTGGGATGGGGCAGGGATGTGGCCTCTGTCACCATGTCCTCGTTAGGAGCTGTGTCCCCACAAGCTGCGGGGCAGTGGCAGAAATCCTCCCTCGTGGAGGGAGGGCAGGAGGCTCTTCCCTTGGCTGGCCCCGTGCAGGAACTGTCCCAGCTCTAAATGTAAACGTTGGAAGCTCTGCTGAGCAAACCACCCGTGGGTGCCCCGTCCTGCAAGGCAGAGGAAGAGGAGGAGCCTTTGCTCTCCAAGTCACCACTCAGCACCCAACTCCTGGGGTTCCACGAGCCAGCTGTGCCAGGGAAACCAAACCACCTTCTTGGCAGTCAGTAAACAACAAACCCCACCATGAACATACCATAAAATAGGGTTAAAAACACATGTAGTGTGGAGAGCAGGTAACTACCAAACTGGCTTGAAATGAGGTTTTTCTAATGCTAAAAAGTGGCAACATGGTGTGGTAACCAATGGATATTATTGCAACAATGCAATTCTGTATCAGCATCGAATGTGGGCCTAGCAAGAGAACGTCCAGTGTTTCTTTGGTGTATGGTATTAAGAATATAGAGCCTGTGTGCCTCAGCACAACACAAAACTTCTACACCTACCAGTGGACACAGCATGAAAGAAGCCAGTTTCCTATGGCAGAACTGGGTAAAGATTCACAACCAAATCTAAACCGAGAGCAATTTGCTGTGTGAATTCCCTGTCCATGCTGATCATTTGTATTAAAAATATGGCAACAGAGATTAGAAAACATGTTAAAAATGCATAATTTTCATGTCCTGAATGAAAAAAATTTAGAAATACGCATTTTTGCATTATGCAAGACAGATTTAAAACACACACACACAAAGGAAAACCCTGTAAGGAGTTAAGAAAGTGGGAACTGCATTTGCACCACTGTCCAGACCGTGCCCTGAGCAGCCTTCCCTGCGCTCTCCCCGATCCAAACACTCCAAAATCTGCTTCTTCAGAAAGTAGAGCTGGAGGTTGCTGGGTCCTTTTACAATCCTCGATGCAGACAGAACCAAGACACAAAAGTGCCCTGGCAGAATCCGTCGGGAGCACGGAGCTAATTTACAAAACGGGGCCGTCACAGTCATCTTGGGTAAATAAAAAGGTTTTCTCCGGTTTACAAAACACGAGTCTGACCTTTCCTTTGTTCCAGGCACTACTTAACTGAATAGGTGAAGGTTGACTACAGCACAGCCAGGGAGGGGGTCCTGGCACAGCCCCCGTGTGCCGCTAGCGGTGCCCGGTGTAGGCTTTGAGCCACGAGGTGACGGAGGCGGCGGCGGACGAGATCATCCCGCCCGCGCTGCTGCTGGCGATGGGCTGGGACACCTGGGTGCTCTGGCTCTGCAGCATCTCCACCTGCTGCGAGGGGATGTCACAGAACCTGGGGCTGGGCAGGTTCTCCCAGTCCGTGCCCAGGTCGGTCTCCTCGTCACTCACATGCTCGTCGCCGCTCTCGTCCGTTTCGCCCGCCGCGCTGGGGTCCACGAACTCCATGGAGTCCTCCAGGTCAGCGCTGATCTCGAAGGGGCCAGACCTGTGGGTGAGGACACGGTGCCATCATCAGTCCCTGTGTCCTCTCACCCCACAGCACCCTGCTCGGCTGGAAGAGGGAGCTTTGTGTCACCATGGATGTTACACAAACACTTGGCCGAGGAAGGGACAGGGTTCCAGACCACGGAGCAGGAACGGAGGGAGAGCAAGTTCTGCTCTGGCAGGGATAGAGAAACACACAACAGGGAAAGTACTGGTGATAACTCAGGGCTCCACTGGTGGGAATCTTGACTTGATGTGGAGCAGCTTTAATTTCCAACACCAGGCCAAGAGAGCTCAGCTCTGTATCCTGCAATTCACAGGTCTGGCACAACTCACCAGTGGAGACTTCTCACTCTGCCCTGAGCAACACCTCAGCCTCTTTCTCACTCTGAGGTTGGCCAGACACTGGAACAGGCTGCCCAGAGAGGCAGAGGGGTCTGCCCCGGGGACACTCCAAACCCCACCACACAGAATCACAGAGTGGGTCAGGTTGGAAGTCACCACAGGGGCTCATCTGGTCCAATCTCCCTGCTCCAGCTGGGTCAGCACATGGCACAGGAATGTGTCCAGACAGCTCTGGAATATCCCCAGTGAGGGAGACTCCACACCTTCTCTGGTCTCTGCTCAAGGCTTGGTCACTGCACAGGGAAGTTCTTCCTCATGTTCAGGTGGAATTTGTGAGCATCAGTTCCTGCTCTTTCCTCTGGTGCCATTGCTGGGTCCCCAGAGCAGAGCCTGGTCTGTCTCTGAGCCCTCCCTGCACACAGGGACACACAGGGCTGAGGGCCCCTCTCAGCTGAGCAGCCCCAGCTCCCTCAGCCTTTCCTGGGCAGGGAGATGCTCCAGCCGTGGGCACTGGCTCTGCTCTGATCCATGGGCTGGATCTCCGTGGTCCTGCAGGGTCCCACCTGTGCTGTGACTCAGGAGTTCCCTGCTGCCACTGCCTGGTGGGAGAAGCGATTGCATCCTGCCCCATCCCACTGCTTTGGGCTGCCTGGATTCCATGGAAAAACGCAGATTCCCCACAGAAAGCAGCGTCCCTGACAGAGTTCACTCCAAGCCACAAAACTGCCCCATGAACACGAGCAAGAATTTGATAGAATCATGGAATCATTTAGGTTGGAAAAGACCCCCAAGATCACCGAGTCCAACCATTAAACACAGTAACCAGCTAACACAGGCAAGAGTTTATCCAGCCTTAGTGGGAGAAGGAGTCTAAAGCAGTGATTTGTCATGGGAAATATTAATCTAGATAATTAAAGCTTGGTAAAATTATAAGCACATGAAAACAGCAGCATATAAAGGAGATTGTCAGGCAACCACAGGCTTAGGTATCTAAAGGAAAACAGAGAGCTGGTTGCTGCAAACTTTGCAGTCAGCTGAGAAATTAAAGGCAAACACTCCTCTTTCATAATCTGGGAAGGAATGGGAGTGCTGCCTCCTGGCAAAGCCTTTTGCTTAACAAGGCAAGACGAGAAGGAGTCATCAGGGTTGAGGCCAGAAGGGACCGTGAGATCATCTCCAGTGACCTCCTCTAACAAAGGCCACTGCGTCCCACCCGTTCTCCCTGTCCTGAGCCCAGCAACTCCTGCCTGATGACAGCATCCATTCCAGAAACTCATCCAGCCTTGAGAGGATGACAGAAGGAAACAGAATCCCCACCTTCATTCCTGTGGGTAATTAATGTCTCTGCTAAGTGCATGTGCATCATTTCAACCAGCTCAGACTCTTTGCTCCCAGTAGTGTCTGTAAAACCATTCAGCAGCCTGGTGGGTATTTTATCCAATTCTCCTGTAACCCTTTCTTTTACTCTCTGGACGCAGCTGATGCATGTGGAGCTCTGTGACACCTGCACAGGTGCCCACTGCAGCCCTTGGACATTTTAGAGCAGCTGCTTTCCTTTGAGGACACAGCTCTCTATCCTGTGGGTATTTCCAGCACTCTATTTTCAGGCAAGTGGCAGCAAGCACAGATTTTTTTTTTGTCCACAATCTTTTACAAAGATGTGGTTCTCCACGTCTCTGGGCTGAATCAGTAGGGATATATTCAGAGAACACAAGGAAGTGGGAACAGGCAGCTCCTCTTAGTGGCACTGCAGGTTTTTGAATAAAATCAAATCCATACAAGAGAACAAAGCAGAAAAGTAGATTTCAGAACATGAATGTGTTTAAGGGGGAATAAAACACCAGGCACATCAAACAAATATTTGCAGACTGTTTTGGGCACAACTGACTTGTGTCTGGGTTATCCCAATGGGGAAATCAGTGTCATTTGCTTTCTTATATTTAACTTGTAAAAAAAAAAAAATTATTAAACCTGGTGCATGCAAGCCAGAACTGACGTTCTTTTCATCATGTTCTAAGCTAAGAGAACAGTTGTCTTTAATCTTAATTTACATATAAATGAGTATTATTTAAAAGGTCAACTTTGGTCCAGGCATTTCATTGACTGGAAGTATTTTGGGCAAGGTTTGCCTGGGATTCTTTTCAGGGTTTGTATTACTGGATGCTCTCAGGTATTTGCATGTTGGCAAGGCGTGGGCAGGGTCACACTTGGAGCATGGCAAAGCTGCCTGGCATTTGTGCTGCTGCTCCCTGCAGGGAAGGAGTTCCTGCTCCTGGGTGTAGGGGAAATAAGTCCATCATCAACTGCAAAGCCTCCAGCTGAGCCTGCCACAGGCAGAAGCACAGCAAACACACGTCTGTGAAATTTAATCCTCTGCTCAGGAGCCCCTTTTTCTGTCCAGTCTTTCCTGAAACTACCCTGATTTCTGTGCTGAGGACTGATCTACAGGCACAACAAAAGAGAAATTCCCTCATAAGTAACAAGGCAAAAGATAAATTCCAAAGGGATTCAGCCCCAGGAGAGTTCATATTTTGCTTTTCTTACCTGCCCAAGTTCTCGGTGTCTGGGCTGACCAGGTACATGAGGTTCCTGAGGGTATGCAGGGGGTGCAACAGATCTAAATTTACATGCTGACATGGGGAAGGGAAAAAAAAACATGATCAGGTCCTGAAGGAAACCAGCAGGCACAGCTGATATTTAAAAAGCTATTTAAAGATATCAAATGTGCATCCCCCCTACCTGAGAGAAGCAGAGGTGAAGGATATTAGCATTCAGCTTCTTCACTGCCCGTGTGAACCTGTGTCTGCTGAGATTCTCTCCACAGAATTCACTGTTAAAACACCACACACAAAAAGACACAGAGAGCAAAATGCTGTGAAAATGCAGTTACTGGAGGCATCAGCATTCCATGCCCTGGCTTCCCAACAAATCCTGGAGTAAAAATCCTCGCAGCAAGCACTTGTTCAAAGTCTACAGCCAGTTTTAGAGTACTGAGGAGATTAATTTTAAACCTAGCAGGACTATGAGCATTTTATCAACAAGCTCTGCTTGCCTTGGCCTCACCAGTTTCCACAGGACAGGTGGTGTGAACTGTAGGGAACTCAGATCCACCAGAGCCAAACTGTCTCAGATCTCCTTTAAAATCGTGCATCCCTGTTCCCAACCTTTTCCTTCTCTGAGGGCTGAACACCCAAACAAAATCAAAGAATCCCAAAATGGTTTGGGTTGGAAGGGACTTTCAAGTTTATCTGGTTCCAACTCCCCAGCCACAGAGTGGGAAAAAGCTGAAACCCTACACAACTTTTGTGCCCTCACTTTGAAAAACAGTATTTTAAAACACTTAAGAATCTCAGCAGCACATCTGGGACTCCTGGGAGTGGGACCAGGTCTGCAGCTCCTTCTGTGCAGATCCCAGCTGCTCCAAAAGACACCAAAATTCCAACACTGCTCTTCATCCCAAATGGGGTTTATGCAGTGCACTCCTAGGTGTGTTCCCCATGGATGTTTTATCCCACTGGGAATTACACTGCTGCCATGCCATATTATAGGACTTTCCCTACAGCACTGGAGGCAACAGAGCTGTTCAAGTGCTGCTGGATTGGGCTGGGATTTTGTGAAGCACAGTGGGGTTCAGGAAAATGAAAAGTGCCATTCATGCACTGCCATATTTCATCTCTCATTTGAGGATGCTGAATATGTCAATTAGAGAGGTGTTATTTTCAACTGTGATGGTTGAAATTTTACTTCCTCTCAGACAGTAAAAAAGGAGGGAGGGACTGTTAACTGTGCTACAAAATCCTGCTAGCCCTTCCCTCAAACAACACAAAACTCTACAAGCCACCTATGTTATCAAAAGCTGTTCCAATTCACGACTTTGTTCCTCAAACTAAACTGATTTCTCTGCTGTGTTTTTACTTGCCTGTTGCAGAGCTTCTTGGGAAGATTTACATCAAGTATGAGAGACAAAGTGTTAACAAGCTGAGTTGCATAGCACAATGCAGCACTGATGGTATGAGCAGGGTTATTATGTTCCATATCTGAAAGAAACAAAAACAACGTGAAATCTTTGTTTTAAATGAAGCCTCTGTGGGTGTGTTAATATGTTCCTGGAATCTACTCTGCAATATGTCATTTCTAAGTATGGAGAGCAGCCTGAATCTAGCAATCATTTCCAGTGAAATCTGTCAGAAGTTGGAAGAAAATAGTAATTCTTGGAATTCCTGTTAAGATGATGACATGTGAATTGTGTCAAAACTGTGAATAATTAACTTTGTCTACTTCACTGTGCTGTGTATCCCAGCGAGCATTTCATGCAAACTAAGATTTCAGCAGACTAAGCATAAAATCACAGAATGGTTTGGGTTGGAAGGGACCTTAAAGACCACCTAGTTCCAACTGGGCAGGAAATCTTCTCCTAAAATCCCTATTTTGGTATTTATTTCTGGCTCAGGGTGAGAACAAATGGACCAGGTCTGCCGTTCCTCAGTGCCTTGCTGGCACCCAAAGCTCCTGGAGTGTCCCAGCTGCCTAAAACCAGGCCTTGTCCCTTACCAGGTCCCTGTGTAGTCTTCTTCTCCTCCACCCAGCTGTAGTAAGCAGAGTAGTCCCCGTTGTTGGGGAGGATGATCCAGGGCCCCGTGATGCTGATGCTGGTGTCCCCGTTGTGGTCGTCACACACCCACCTCCCGGACAGGTACGTGGTTCTCCGTGCTTCTGCCAGCTTGCTCACAGTGCTGGAGGTCATGGCATTGTCACTCTCTGAGGACACGTCTGCAGGGTCCCTGCAGGGCCCAGAAGGGGTTGAAAAGAAGTGGTTTAATAATAGAATCTAACGTGCACTTGGCAGGCACTGAGCCAGATTTCACTCAGGGAAAAGTGCTTGTAGGAACGCTCCTGCAAAACTCCTCGGTGCCAAAAGTACTTTCATTTGTTCTGGGGGTTTTAATTGGCTACTTTTGTAGAATCCAGGAGTGGTTTGGGTTGGAAAGGACCTTAGAGATCACTTCTGCAAAACTCCTTATTCCCAAAACTACTTTTGTTTTCTCTGGGATTTTTAATTACCTGATTTTGTAGAATCCTAGGTTTGGGTTGGAATGGGCCTTACAGACCATCTCATTCCACCCCTGCCATGGGCAGGGACACCTTCCACTATCCCAGGCTGCTCCAACCCCTGTCCAGCCTGGCCTTTAACACTTCCAGGGATGGGGAATCCATATTTTAAGGAAGTTTATCACTGGACATGCAGCTCAGATCTCTCAGTGGGGAGATTCAAGCACCTCCAGATTCAGATTCTTCTGTCCTGGACCTCTATCTGTGGGTGAGAACACAACAACTCCTCCTCCCCACAGACCCTAAGGGAGTCAGACTGCTGGATCCCAGAAACCTGGGTTTTTTGAGCTTTCTGTGCTTTCTGGGACTGATCCCCTGGGGAACACTGCTTTGGACCTGAGGCCTTGGAGAAAGCTTCCAAATTTGAGTGATGGGGTTAAAATCACGGGGGTGAAGTTGAATGTGTGCTTTCACATGGTGAAGGGTTTTAAATTTGAGGGTTTTTATAATACAGTAATAGGTATGGGACAAGATGGAGGATTTTGGGTGGTGCCTCCTTTTGGTGTTCATCTTCCTTCTTCATGATTTCAGGCAGTAGTTTCTGGTTGGACAGTCAGTGCTGCACTGAGGGGCACGGGAGTTTGGTTATTGGGTCAAAAGTATAAATGATTTAGGTGTTAATTCTCTATTGGACTGTTTAGCTTTAAGAGACCTTGTAACTAGCGAGGTTCACCTCCATTTTGCTCACTTCTAACTGGTGGCTAGAAGCGTTGCAGAACTCTCTGTACTTTAGATAAGATTTAATAAACAACCAAGCCTGAACACGAGAAAATTTGTTTCCTTCGTGTATTTTTTTAATCCTGGCTCCGAGTGAAGACAGAAGAAACTTCAGACAAGCCACTAATTAAGTGGTGCAGAACACCACCCTATTACACCACACCACCTACCTTACACTGACACAACTCCCTCCTGGGTGCCTAAAGCCAAGCAAAAAGATCCCAAAAGGACAAGCCTGCCATACCTCATGCTTGTCTTCACCTCTTCCATGGGGAAGATGACCGAGGTGAGCTCCAGGATGTGCGTGCGCCGCAGGTTTGCCAGGTGCTCGTACTGAGTTCTCAGCTCGTAGCTTTTCTTCTCCACCAGGTCTCCCAGCTTCCTGTTGTGCCTCTGGATCTTCTCCTTCTTCTCCTGGTGCCTCTGAGCCCTGCGATAATGCTTCTGGTTCTCCTCTTTAATCCTCAGCAGCCCCTCTGTGTCTGTGAGAACAGCAGCAGATGTTATCCCTTGGAAAAGGAGCTGGGAGGTGCTTGTAGGAAAAGCTTGAGAAAAGCTTTATTAATATTTATGGAAAACAAGCTCTATGGCAGTTTAAAACAGAAAACCCTGCTAAACTATTAACATCTTCCAGCTGCTCAGTGGTACAACTTTTTAATCTCCTCTGAAGATCTCCAAAGAGACTGCAACTGGGATTATTATTTCCCTATCTTTTACCCAGCTATTTTTGGATTTGGAGCACAAAAGCCAAGATTTCCCAGTTTAATTAAACTCCTGAGGTAATCATCCTGACAGAAATAGCCTGACTGTACATGTTTGCATCGTGCTGGCCAAAAAAGCCCTGCCCTGCTTGCAGCCAAAATCAAGTGCAGATACCATCTTCATTCACCATTTCTGGCACCTCTGCTGCTGTTAGTGTGGGTTATTTGGGCTTCACTCATGGACGTGCTCTCACAGCACTTGGATCCCAACAGTGCAGGCTCCTTGTTCCCACAGGGAACATTGGCTATCTCCCTTTCCACTCACAAAATGGGAATTGTGCTCATGTGCTGAAGTGCTGCAACTGCCTGGATTCACTCCACGTGTCAGAAACGCTGAGGCTTAGAAAAATACCCTGCAAGAGCATCTTGAAGCATCCAAGGTTGGGCCTGATGATCTTAGAGGTCTTTTGCAACCTTGATGATCCTATAATCTGCTAATTCAGGTATAAAATAAGTGGCTGCAGTAATGCTCCCACAGAGAGTCAAGGCCACCTCTGTCTTTCAAAAGCTCACTTTAGAAGATTTCTTGTGTTCTCCCCAAATATTTAAAACTCTCCCTGTGCCCTAGTTTGAAGTGTGCATGGCCCTGCAGACACAGAGGCTGCTCTCTCTGAACATCAGGAATTATTTCCAGTCATCTGATCCACTGCAATCCATGGTGTGTCTGGTAGGAAGGAAGATCTGGTATGTGGGAGATGCACAGTCCCAAATTAAAGGAGGTGAGAAAAGCTTCTCCATGCAGATAAGAACTAATAATCCTCAGGTTTATGCAATATAAATAAGTGACCCCTGTTAGAAGAGCAGTAGAAAAATCCACTTTTCTCTGAGCAATACCAGAATCCCTATGTGTCAGCTGTAATTCCCTTGCCTTTAAGCAGTCCTGTAACATCAACAGAAAATCAATTAACACTTGCATTTATATTCCCAAACTCTCCCTTTGCAAAAAGAACAGGAGACAAGAAGAGGAGGAAAAGGTCCATCTGTTCAATTTTCACATTCATATTCAACTTGAAAGGCTACTTTTTCAGAGTGAACTCCCTTCCCTGCAGGTCCAACAGCAATTATTTGGGAGCAGGGGAGACACTGCACTCACATTTCCTCTTTAGCAGTCCCAGAGCACAAACAACTGTCCTGCTCTCTGCACAGCACCTCTGCTTTATGACCCAGTTTATGAGGTGATTAAAAATCTGTCCCCAGGAGTATTTCAGGACACCACTGTGTCCCACACACCTGCACTGCCTGATAAATGCAAGCCCAGGCACACTGATCTCTGCCCAGAGAGCTCTGCCAGGTATTTGCAGGCCTGTCTCCTTGAACTGCTCTGCACAGAAAGAAGGCAAACACACAGATTTTAAAACATTATTTTAAGCACCACCAATTATTGAGGTCTCCAGGAGAGTCAACTCTAAAAGCAGGAACCCAGTGTTCTAGAAATGGTTTTTATTTCAGAAAATTAAACTGTGCCACGTCCAAGAGCAGAGAAACAAACTTTTCACGTTTTTTAATGTGGCCCAAAAGTGACCAAGTTGGATCCTGATCTGTTGGCTACTCGCAGCTAGAATTCATTTCTGGTCTCTCTCCAAAAGCAACTGAGCTAACAATAGGTTAGTTGGGCAATAGTCAGCTCAGTTTTTAGGTTAAATCTAATCAAATTCACTGTGAATCAAGAGAAGTTGCAAAATCTGCAGATAATAAATTCCACAGAAGAGTGACAAAATGAAGAACTCGACTCCCTGGTTGGTCCTAACACTCTGCCACCTTCAGAGCAGAGCATTTTGAGAAAAGGTGACTAATTCCTTAAAGTCACATTGATTTCCTCTTCTCCTTTCTTCACAGGATAAAGACAAAAAATCATAATCTAATCTCCATAACAATAATCTTCTACCTACTGAAAAGCTTGTTTTTCTTCGACTTCCTGTTCTCTAAACCAAACATGAATTTTCTTAACTGTTCTGTTTCATTTCCAATACTCAGACTTCCCCCAGCTGATTTGTATCTTTCTTAAATTGTTTAAATTGGACACCAGACTTCCACTAAAGCAACAGCAACACCTAGCACAGCAGGATAACTGCTTCCATCTTAAATACAGCACTTATATTAGTTAACCCAGAAAAAGGCCTGAACCTTTCTGGAGCAGCATGAGATTGATATTTTTTATTTAATTTGCAATTCCCCAGATCCCTTCCTGCCAAATCTCACCACCATCCCCCATTCTGGGTTTATGTTTCTCTCTACAACAACGTGTACCTTCATTTTGTCTTTTGCAGATGATGCTGTCTATTTATCTGCACTATTTTGAATTTGGTCCTGGTTTCCACAGAAGTCATTTCACCATCCAGCCTGGCTTCCTCTATTCCACCCTCTATTCTGCTGAGCTATTATGGGAAATACTGAAGAGAACTGGGCCAGGAACTGGCTCCTGCTGAGCTCCACCTGTCTCACCTCCTCAGCTTGACCAGTGTCACCACTCTTTGAATGCAGCTTTTCTAACCTTTTGTGGTGACCTTGCAGGGGTTACACCCAGAGCAAATTTTGTTTGCTCACAAGACAGTTTCAGGCAGTGCCCAAACCCAAGTTATATGCAGCTTCTGCTTCATCCTCCACTGCACCATTTCATCTCCTGATGAGGGGTTGATTTAACATGAATATCATGACATAAATAACAGAGCAGGGATTTGACATGAATATCATAACCAAGTGATGCCTATTTTTAACCACCTTATCTGTCAGTTACCAGCAGAGCCCCCCCAGGTCTGTAACAGGATGCCTGTGTCATCACTTTGAGGCTCTCCCTTCCTGCACCCTTTGAAAGCAGGTACAGTTTTCAGCTTCCTCAGACACCCTCACTCCCTCATGTGTCCCAAGTGCTCCACACACCACCTCAGCTTGTTCCTTGGGTTCCATAAAGCAAACTAACGTGTGCCTGTCTGTTTCCTTTCCTTTCCTGCAGACCTCTCATGATGTAAAATTTAACCTGGCTAAGCAGCTGATCACATTTTCTTTGCAGGAAGATGAAACAAAGGCAGCACTGAATGTAATGTTTCAGACTTCCCTGCACTGTTATTTGCTCTCTTTCCTGTTAACTAACACACTTGTCTGCTCCCTCACCTTTCCTTTATCATCCATTTATTATTGTTACTATCCATCCTCCTTATAAATTGAAAATAATTTTGCATCTCAGCCTTTTTGATTTTTTACTCCAAGCCCATGCTAATCCCTTATGATTCTTCTCAGGTTATGCCTCTGCTTCCACTCTCTGTATGGCTCCTCTTGAATTTCAAGCCATAAAAATATCCCAGATTCAATCAATATGCTTCTGAATATGCTTCCTCTACTTCCCTTGCACGTAGGTTGTAAGGAGAGCTGCATATTCTCTTCCAAAAAATGACCCTGCAAATTCAGTGTAAAACAATCTAATGGGTTTCAAAAACTGAAGTTTCTGAATGGAGCCTACACTGTATTTCAGTGACTTTTGCTCAAGTAGGATTTTCAGACAAGTGTGGGTTAAAATTCAGCAGTTTCACGAAATCTGTGACAGCTGCAGAGCTGTTTGCTCCTCTTTATCAAGAGGAAGTGATCAGAAACACTACACTGAATAAAGCCATCTCTAGGGACACAGCCAGAGTCACAGGCTGCTAAGCATTTGCTCTTAAAGCTGTTGCAAAACCATCTCCATCCAGCTGAATAATGTCTGCTGTTTGCTAATTAAAACCCAAGCATAAAAAGGCAAAAATTCACTCAGTGATTTGCCTTCAAGTTGATTTAGGAAGCGATGGTTTGGAAATTCACCATTTTTAAAAAAACTAACGCTCAAATTCACCTCAATTGATTTTTCACTCTAAGGCACAGGGAGTTTTTCCACATCACAAAAGCACAGGCATTACTCACGTCTTGTCATTTCATCATTTTCTTTGCAAATGGTCTGTTTCAGCTGCTCAATCCTCATCTTGCAAGACATTATTTTCCACCTCTGAAAAAGAACATTCAGCAACTCTAGGGCACAAATGACTTCAAACACGCTGAACTAATGATTAACAACAAAGCCAGCAGCTTTAATGCAAAAAGTAGCAGGATGCTCTTGAATGGATCAAACAACTAAATATTTCATACGGTGTTTTATGCACAGAAGAATGCCACAAACAAAACGAGTGCTTAGTATAAAGTCAATCGGTAAAATAAGTTATTGAAGAAATATCTAGTGAGAAATGAAAAATTCAGACAGCTCAGAACACTCTGCTGGCAGAGCCCATTTCAGTTTTGCTTACAACAGGCTCTTTGGGAAAGCAACACAATGCCCTCAGGGTAAACTGTAACTTTAAACTATGAGATCTAGGAATTCAGAGAGTTTAAAAACCATGGGACACTTGGAGCAACTCACCAGCTGATCAGTTATTTCTTTCCCTTCCATGGCCTTCAAAACACTAGAGGAAAAAACATGATTGAAAGTTTTATGACTATCTGGACTCTGTCTGTCTGCAGCAACAGTGTGTTAAAAGAGACTGTTTCCTTTTATGAGATCTCTTAGCTTTTATGTCAATTTAATAAATACAACTTACTGTTTTTGGAATTCTCTCTGTTTGGTTTTGAGATGCATCAGCCTTTCTTTCTTTTCTGAAAACCTGGAAGAGATTAAATTCTTTTATTGATATTTTGCACAATTACAGCACTGTAAGTTGTCTGAAAAAGATAATAAAATTGAAGTTTGGGGAGTCTCCAAACCTCAGCTATCTGTCTTCATCTTGGGAAGTTAATGGCTAAATGTGTAAAACTCTTGCAGAATTCTAGAGCATATGTCTCACTAGAATTGCAACAGAACCTCTAAGCTGGAGAAACATCAGTGTGGAACTATCAAACAAACAGCAAATTACTGCTATTTCTAGATTTATAGCTTAGCAAGATCAGTATTTAGTGTGTTACAAAAAACATCAAGTATTTTAAAAGCCTTCAGTCACTGGAGAAATTAATAGTACATCTCACATAGCCCATGACCCAAATGTCTGCTTCAGCTCTGCTTCACTGGATTCTAGGGTATGGGAACTGAGCAGAGAGGAATTTTTTCAGGATTCATCCTCCTGTGTTTTCACCCTTTGAGTATACAGAAACCACGTTCTTTCCCCCTTATTGTTCCACAATTCATTCTATTTTCCTCTGCAACACGTAGAACTGACAATTTCATCCTAACAGAGCTGTGATATTTGCAGATGCCCCATCCCTGGAAGTGTTCAAGGCCCATGGCAGGGGTTGGAACTAGATGGTCCTTAAGGTCCCTTCCAACCCAAACCATGTGATTTTATGATTTTACCTTTATTTCATGGATATTTAAGCTTTATTTAGAAAGAATAGTACACTTAGCCTTGTCAGGATGACATCTTGGATTTCCCTCTTTGTTACTCTGTGGATTTGATTTCAGGTAAGACTTGAAAAATGCTTCACTTTTTTCTTTCAAGTGCTGAAATCTGAAAGCTTGGTGACTACCTTTGGATTCAGAGGTGTGTAACCACCCTCCCAGATGACATTAGCATTAGAACAACAAAACCACTGGCTGCAGCTTCTGTAGTCAAGTAAAAGAATCTGTTTCCCTTCCAAAACAAACCAAAACCAAATGCAGGTGCTTGGCACAAAAGCCAGAGGCCACACGTGAGCTGGAGGAATGTGGTGCAACTGGAGCCCAGCTGCTCACACATCCCCTCTTCCTGTGTGTCCTCACCCCAGGAGTCACCTGGAAATGACAAAAGGCCCTGCATGAGCCTCCTGTTTACCACAGAGCACTGCACACCTACTGCACCCCGACCTTTGGCTTCCACCAAAAATCCCCTGGCCCAGAAACACAGAGCTCAGCAGCCACACAGGGAGAGGGAATTTGGCAATTCTTGGTTTCAGGGCTGACTGAACAGAATTACCCAATTCCAGTCCATCACATCAGCAAAAAGTTGAATGATCTGTCAAAGAACACAGGAATAAATTAAGTTCTGACTGAGGAGGGAAGACAGAAATATTTGTGGAAGCCTGTAGAAACTCCAGCTCACCACGCGCTTCAGCAGCGATGTCAAACAGCTCCTACCAACTTCTCCACATTTCTCCTAAGCAAACATTTCCATTTCTTTATATAGCTGATTTCAATAACATTGCATCCTGCAACTCGTTTTGCTTTATATATATATCTTTAGCCTTTCAATTTGGCAAAGAAACAAAACTTGGGATGAATTATTATAGGAACTCCCATAAAATGTAAAGTGAGAGAACATCTTGAATTGCCCATGAAATGTTTCTCTTTCCTCAAGTCTTATCACATTAAGGTGAGATTTTCTGTGGTTTCCTGGTTTATTTCCACATGTTCACGATTACAGAGAGGGGCTTCCTAATCTACAGGAGCTGATTAATGCTGAAGGAGTTGAGGGCACTGTATTCGTTATAACTCCTCTGCTGAAAAAAGTCACTATTCCTAATCATAACCCATAGCTTGAAGAAATTAGCCAGGCTCAGACGTCACAATTACATTGTCTTTGGCTTTTGCCATCTGCAGACACACAAAGCAAAGCAATTCAGCAGTCTGGGAAACACGCTCTGAGAATTTATGCACATGACAGGCTGGAGGACACTCCCAGGAGGAAGAAGAACCTTCGAGCTGAGACCAACATCAAGATGCCAGCTTGGCTTTTGAATATACAACACATTACTCATGAAAAGAAGGATGTCAGTGACTGCTTTACTGGAGGACTTCTGGACTACTCATCCTTAATTCTAGCTCTCCTTAAGTAATTAATCTTAACAGCTCCTTAGTCTCTCCCCCTCACAGATATGGGGGCCAGACAGATGAAAAACTTCCAATTTTACTGTAGCTCTTCTAAAAATTAGCACACAAAAGAGTCCCATGAAATCTGAAATAATAAGAACATGAAATTGTTTGTCTTCATATAAGGAAAATTCACAATAAAATTCTAAAAATAAACCACTGTTGCATACAAGGAATAACGCTTGGTTTCTTTATATTTAACCAGGAAGACAACGATCCTTTTCCCTCCTCTGTAACACTTCAAAAAGACAAATGGGAGGCCCAAGTGCCTCCAAACACTTCCACATTCTGAATTTCTCACACTGAGCCACTCAGCAAAGCCCCTGTCATGACACTCCTCCAGCACTGGCTGATCTAAAATTAACCCAGGTACTACTAGAAGGCATAAAATAAACAAATAAAGAAGGATGGCTGTAAACACGAGCTGAAAGGCAGCCAGTGAACTGCACATGGCTTTGCCCTGTTGTGCCTGGTCACCATTTCAAACATCTCCCCCTCTCCCAGGGCTCACATCACAAGAAATTCAGAGACACCCACAAAGAGCAAACAAAACTGGCCTCTTTCCCACTCTTACATCAGTCATTCCAAATATTAATTAGAGAATGCAAACAAAATATTTCAGGCAGAGTTTAAACATAATCCCATTATCCTCAAAAGCCAGGCTTTTGTTCCTACACAGTGTTCCTGCAGCCTTCGAGGATATTTAGGTTGTTAACATTGTGTTATTCATACAGGTGTGCTGTTCCTTTAATTCATTAAAATAAATTTACCATTTTTTAATTCATTCATGGAAAAGTTGTGAGCAGCAGGAGAAACAAAGCCTGGGCAAATGGAGCGTGTAGGGAGGCCCCAGATTAATACAACAGCAGTGACCCCCAGAGATTGAACTGTGATGTTCAGGCAGAGGAGGGGGAAAAAAAGACCAAAAAAAAGAAAAGGAAATTTAAATTTAACCTTTGCAGTTAAAAAACACAACATAAATATAGAGGAGCTTTTCCAGCCACAGACAAATGGGGCAGTGAAAGCTTCTGAGGAGGATGCAGTGACAACTGTCAGACAGAAAAGCTGATCCTGTCTCATGTGAGAAGATAAAGAGGGTTTCCTCTTACACTGCTGCTTCTGGTACTTTGGCTAAAGCTGCTTCTTTATGACTTCATTTTCTAATGGGCAGAGACTTCTTAAGCTCTGGTTAATACAGAACAACAGTGCTTCAACTCTAACAAAGGCTACAATTGAATTTCTATAATTAAACCTGATCTTTAGCCAAAAACTTCAGGCTGCAAAAGAGAGAGGAAAAAACCCAAACTTGGTTTATGTTTCAAGCTCCATATCCAATCTTTTAATAGAATCTGCAGAAAAACCCAAGCAGTCTCACATAACTACACGTTTTACACCTATTTTAGAAAGGCTAAATCTAGTTTGTGGTTCTACAACGCAGCTTTTTTTATATTAAAAATGGGAAAGCCATGCAGTGCCAGACTAAGGTCTCAGTTCTGCAAGCTGACTCACAGTGGCTGACTGCCTTTCCCCACTCCCGTGGACGTTGATGGGTGAATGCCACCACTGTCCCCTTGTTTCTGGGGACACAAGGAGCCTTTGGAGCGCTGCTTGCCACCTTCCCAAAATAGCTCCAGGCATCACTCCCAACAGCTGCTAACGAAGCTGCGATCGAGGCACCAAGAACACGGTGCCAGCCAAGGATCAGAGCATTCCAGACATGGCACTGGAGACTTTTTAAGAATCTGGGACGGACATACTGTGAACAGCAATGGACGAGCTATCTGAGTCATATTATGAGAAAATTTGTTTATGGGCATAGCACTCGTGCAGTGCTCCAAAAGCAGCAGGATGGCACACGATTAATTTGAGATTTTTTTTGTAATGCTAAAGAAGGGGATGTTCACCTTTATGGGTACACACACAACAAAGCGTTTCGTTTAGAAAACTACTATTTCAAGGAGTGTTGACGAAAATAGGTAACCCATTTGAAACAACACTGTACGGATGTCTGTGCCCTGAACTGCCTAGAGCTTCTGTGGCTACACGGACACATCTGCGCTGAGCGAAAGTCGGGGTGATTCCTTAACCATCATTATTAAAACTCTTATTATTTCAAGCCTCATACCCAGGGTCCTGCTGTGTCCGCCCCCAGTCCCGGGGTGGGCCCGGCAGCCCCCGGAGCGTTCCCCCGCCCACACCCTGAGCCCCCCGAGCCCCGGGGCAGCGGGGAGGGCACAACCCGGCCCCCCATCCCCGGCCCCGAGGCACAGCGAGCCGCAGCAGGACAGAGAGAGACCGTCCCGTTCCCCTCAGCGCCGCCGGTACCTCTCGGAGTCGCGCCCGTCGAAGAAGACGAAGTCGCCGCTCTGCACGCACTTGGCGCAGGTGAGGCGGCGGCGCGTGGTGTTGCAGAGCGGGCACCGCTCCACCGCCACGTAGAGACCCTCGGCGTCCTCCTCGGCGCCACGCAGAGCCCCGGGCCCGGCGCCGCTGCCCCCGCCCGGCCCCGCGGGCTGCGGCCGGCGGCCGCTGGGAGCCGCCATGTTGGGCGCCGCGGGTCACGTGGGACGCTGTTGCCGGGCAGGGCATTGTGGGAAGGGGCGCTGAGGCGGCGGGCGGGAGCGGGGGAGGGCGCGGGACGGGCTGCGCTCTGCCGGGAAAATCCTGATTTTTTTTAATAGGAACTGCGCCCTTTTCTTTCCGCATAAAGAAAGGGATGAGCCCTGCCCTGCTCCCAGAGCGATGGGGGTGCTGTATTCCGGTTCCTGGGGGCTTCATAGCGGGTAGCCGTAGCATAACCAGTCAGTAACGCTGCTGTGAGATCTAGAGCTAGCAATGAAATCAGGGCCGTGTATTTACAATAATATCCAAATTGCTTTGTCCACGCAAATACCGATGCACATCCTTAAAACCGACGCACAGAGAGGTTACCTCAACCCAACCTCCATAGTGGAGAGACGACGAGGAGTTAAATACAGAGGATGAAATGAGATTGAGAAGAAGGGAACAATGCTTCTGGATCAGGGAAGGGACCTTAAAAATTATCCAGTTCCAACCTCCTGACTTCGAAAGGGACACCCTCCATTAGACCAGGGTGTGCCAAACCTCATCCAACCTGGCCTTGGACATTCCAGGGAAGGGACAGCCACAGCTTCTCTGGGCACCCTCAGGGCCTCACCACCCACTTCTACGTAAAGAATTTTTTCCTGATAACTGATATTTCCTAATATGAACCTACTTTCAGTTTGAAGCCATTCCCTCTTCTGTCTGTAGTGGGAAACACCCAGCAATTAGAGGAGACAGAGTCCACAGAAGCCAGAATAATTTAGGCAATATCCCCATATCCCCTTTCCCAATAGAAATGCAACAAATCATTGCCCTACCCTTTTTCTTTTTTAAAGGGCAATTCCCAGCCTACATTTTCCCCTTCCCGGTGTTATCAAACACTTAGCAGGAACAGCACTGTGGAGTTAGAACCAAGATTGTTGTTTTTAAGACAAGAGTTACCATAGCAAACATTAACTTAATCAGTAGCTCAGTGAAAAGGCACAGAGCCCATTTCTTATCTCTAAGGCTTTATCCCTACTTCTAAAGAGCACTAATTTTACCACTGAAATCATATGGCAAGCTCTTAAGAAAACGTGACTTCTTGAAGAGGGCTCATCTTAGATAAACTTTTTTCCCCCCCAACACCTCAATAAAACCAGGGTGTTTTCACTTACAAAAGATTACTTTAATTGAAGCTCATCAGCTGTCACTACAGCTGCAGTGCAAATAAAAGTCCAGCCCATGGCTGTAGAAAGTCTCCAGCATTAGAAAGCAAACAGAAAAGTAAGCCTGTGTTTAAAATAGATTTGAATGTGGAAATCCACAGTTTGACAGAGAAACTGATAGCAGCTAAGACCAGCTTATCATAAGGAAGTGCACAAAGTTTTTCTAACTCTTTTCCAGAGAAGCAAGGAGATAGATATAAAAACACGTGTGAGAGACACATAACAGATACAGAAACTGAAGTCACACCCTCACCGAATCAGAAATAAACTTTTGTGGCAGCAAAACTCAGCCCAGCAAGACCCTGTTCTGAGTTGAGCCATAGCCCATCCCGAGTGTTTCCAGCAAGGACAGAGGAAGATTTTGGCCTGGGTTACACTTGAGTCATATAAGAGCAACCTCTAGTGGTGTTTCCAGACAGGTACCACACCTTGAGGAGAAAAGGACACAACACAAAGTGTTCTGGCTTGCTTCCAGGGGCTTTCCAGAGCAGCCATGGGATAGGCTTTGCACTGTTCCTGCTCCCAGCACCACTCTGAGCAGGGCACCTTCTGAAATGGAAGGCTTGAATTCAAACTAAGTACAGGAAACACCATTGTTTTTGCTCCAAAATTACCAAATGTTGTGCTACTGGCTGAACTCTGGTTAAATAATACAGATAATTAAGTCATAAGCATCCAAGACTTTCCATATTTTCCTCAAATCCATTTTTAACAAAGTTCCAAACCAACATGTTTTTGTCTGCACTGAACCCCCATCATCTGAGGGCACTTGACTAAGACAAGTGGGTGCCATTTAGTTAAAAATCTAACTTGTGCTACATCAAATAAGATAATTTAATTAATTAGTTACCCCTCCACCCACAGATTTTCTAGGTAAATCCCAGCAGTCAGGACCTGCAGTGTCTTCTCTGTGAAAGAAAATCCTGCACCAACACACACAACAGTTCACCCAGCCAGTGGGATCAGAGTGATTTCAGTACATGTCTTCTAAACACCAAAATCAACTCGTGCAGGATTTTGTAAGCCATATTACAGACAATATATGTGGAGCTTAAACATGAAGCTACAACACTGCAAGAACAATTCAGGACACTAAGACCTGAGGATTTTGATTAAGCCAGTCTGAAGTGCAACATGGATTCACCTGTTCAACAGGGAAAGAGCTTCTACCAGGAATTATTTTTAAGTGCCACCTTAATATACATTCTATTAAAAGTGCATTCATTTATCAAGTGTTTTAACTTGACAAAATTATCAGAACTCATGTGGATTACAGATAATCAGAAAGAAAAGAACATTTTACAAGCTATAGAAAGACATCAGCATATGTGGCATTCAGAAATGAATCATTTGCTTAATAATCCCCAGCTCCACAACTGGGTCCGGGAATCCCCTTGGCTTCTGTTCCATGCACAGAACACAAACCTAGGTGTTATTCTGGATTGCTTTGTGAGCTGTGTCACGATGGTTTCTTGAAACCTCTTAAAATGGGGTAGATGTTCTCAAATGCCTCATAGATTTCAGAACGGTGTTTTGCTCCTAAATGGACATTTAAGAAAAAAACAACAAAAAACTCCATGAATTTACAGGGTGCTGAGAGTAACTGGATGCAGTTTAAACCCAGTAAGATTCCAAACCATAAAGAAACTCAAGAGACTGAGAGCACCTTACTATTAAAGGCAGAATTTCTATCTGCTACCTCAAAGAACAATTTCTAGCTTGCTTAGCTTTAAGACTAGTTTTGTTTAATCTGTGGAACCAAAACAGCAATTTTCTGCTCTTGACAGGTGCAAAATTATTGGCTTTGAAGAAGGAAAAAAGCAACTGAGCACCACCATGGTGTTATCTGCTTAAGAATAACAGCTCTGCCTGTTCCTAAGGTGAGTGAAAGGTAGAAACAAGAAGTGAAAAGCCTTTAATTCACTGGGAATTGTTCCATGGTTTGAGAACTCTGCTTCTCCAGCTCTGAGAAGCAATTTTAATTTTAATCTGCGTGTTAAGACACCTTTGATTTCAAGTTCCTTTCCCCAGTGCTGTAAACAAATCTTTAATACCAAGTCTTGCACACAAACTGCATTGCAGTAGGCAGGAACATTCCCTGCCAGCAACACTACTCATATTGGTCCTACAAAGAAAACGGCATTTAAATTAACTAAAAGTGGAGTTCATCCCTGCTCAGGTTGAATGTGTAAACCTTTTCTCATGTCCTCACTTGGATATGAATAATTCATCTGCCTTACCACAACTTTTGCTTTCAAAAGTAAAGTTGCTTTCTTGACTGGGGGAAAAAAAGCCAACCTCCTCACAGCTCAGCAAATTCGGATTTTTCATTACAGCTGGGCCCAGTACTCACAGAAGTACTTGCCCTTAAGCAAGGGTGTTACAATTAGTATACCCCAAAAAATGCAAGCATCAGTGGATCTGACCAGTATAATTTTACTAACCAACATAATTTTACTGGACCTAAGAAAATTGTGGCTGTTGGAAGGGGAAGCATTTAAGCTTTGTCCTGTGTGCCCCATCCTTCAGTTCACTGAGCTCATTCCTGACTTATGGCTGTGAGAATCTCTGGCTCAGGCAGGCACTTTTCTCTTGCCTTCCACATGTCTCAAAACTGTGTTGTGAATATGAATACTGCATTCAGCGCTTCTGGGAACAAGTACCATTTACCTTTCAGTACATCTGAATAAAAGTATTTTCACAAGCTTCACAAAAAGGATGTGCCAGGAGCTCAGGAATTCATCTTTTTTGACCTGGGATCCGAGTTAGGTATCTGCTGAGCACACTGACTCAGCAAGGCTTTTGCCTTCACGATTATTTTACCAATCAGTCTGGAACAAGCTCTCAGATCTCCACCCTTTCCTCTGATAATCCCTACTAAATGTTGTCAGTGAAGTGTTTGAAGAAGTTTGTTTCCTGTCCAAGCAATTTTAAATTGGTTATTGTGAGGTTCCTATTTGAGTGCCTGAGTAGTTGCTGGCACGTCAGCATCCTGTTTGCATCCTCTGCATTGGCACGTGGCATCAGGCTTTGAATTAAAAAAAACTAAAACTTAACATGGAAATCTGAGACTCTATATGTGAAACAATACAAGATTCTAGTGCAACAATACTGATGTTATCTGCAGAAAACACAGATAAGTTGCAGCAGCCATTAAAAAGATCCCTGAGTGGCAAGATACTGATTTTTAGTTAATGTTTAATTTAAATGCTCTCCCAGAAAGTGAGGTAGCAGTGGGCTGCAGATACAGAGAGGCACCACTTACCAGTCAGCACAACTTTTCCAGACACAAAGATAAGCAGCACTATCCTTGGTTTGACCATCCTATAAACCAGGCCAGGGAACAGTTCAGGTTCATAGCTGTTCAAAGCAAGCAGGCAAGATTATTAAAATGCAGATGCTGTTTCAGTGTTGTATGAATAAAGTGCTCTTTAATTATAGTAACAATAGAGTAATTAACCACCTGACCTGAGAAAGGCAGGTCAGGCTTTGGACATCTTGAAGAGAAACCTGTTAACCACAGCTGGAACTGGTGGGGGATCTTCATGCTGACTTTGAAAGACTTGTGAGCCACTTCTGATTTGTTATAGCACTGGAACCTTTATTGTAATCTTCAAACAGTCCTCAAATAATGGGATGGCCTGGGTTGGAAGGGGCCTTAATCACCCAGTTCCATCCCCTGCCATGGCAGGGACACCTTCCCCTGTCCCAGGCTGCTCCAAGCCCTGTCCAACCTGGCCTTGGACACTTCCAGGGATCCAGGGGCAGCC